GGAAGAAAGAGACTTGGGGGTCATCATTGACCACAAGATGAACATGAACCTGCAACGCAATGCTGCGGCTAATAAAGCGACCAAAATGCTGGCTTGCATCCATAGATGCTTCTCAAGCAAATCCCAGGAGGTCCTTCTCTCCCTGTACTCAGCCTTGGTGAGGCTGCAGCTGGAGTACTGTGTCCAGTTTTGGGCTCCACAATTCAAAAAGGATGTAGAGAAGCTTGGGAGAGTCCAGAGAAGAGCTACGCACATGATCAGAGGCCAGGAAAACAGACCTTACAACGACAGGCTGAGAGCCATGGGGCTCTTTAGCCTGGAAAAGCGCAGGCTCAGGGGTGATCTGATGGCCACCTATAAGTTTATCAGGGGTGACCACCAGGATCTGGGGGAACGTTTGTTCACCAGAGCGCCCCAAGGGATGACGAGGTCGAACGGTCATAAACTACTACAAGACCGTTTCAGGCTGGACATAAGGAAGAATTTCTTTACTGTCCGAGCCCCCAAGGTCTGGAACAGCCTGCCATCGGAGGTGGTTCAAGCACCTACATTGAACACCTTCAAGAGCAAATTGGATGCTTATCTTGCTGGGATCCTGTGACCTCAGCTGACTTCCTGCCCTTTGGGCGGGGGGCTGGACTCGATGATCTTCCAAGGTCCCTTCCAGCCCCAATGTCTATGAAAACTATGAAATCTTAAATTAAGATTAAGTTCATTAATCTTTAGTTTCTTACTTAACTAAAGGTTAAGATAACAAGATCCTCTATGGGTAGAACTATGATTTTGAATAGTAAAGAGTCTGCAGGGCTGTGAAATAGGAGGAGAGAAATCAGAAGAAGCTAGCAGAAAGCAAAAATGCCTGAAGAAAAGTTAGCTTGATTTGTGGAACTATCAAGACCATTAAAAAGGAGAGGCAATTGTTAATACCTGTGAAGTGAAGAAGTGTGGACCACTGGGCGTCTTTACATGAGTTTGTGGGGTGGGGGACCAGGAGGAGGGAGGAGGACAGCGGCAGCACTTTAATTAGAGCAGCTCTTGGAGTCACTCTGATTAAAGCTCCTGCAGCATCTTGTGTATTCCGTGTCCCGTCAAAATGTCGGTGGGGGCACTTTAACTAAAGCTTATCCAACAAACTTCAGTTAAAGCACCCTGCCACCATTTTTAAGCATGGGGATGCTGAATACACATGATGCTAACTAGGAATTCATTGAGTCTGCTCCAACATGTGCTAACTAACATGCATTGGGGCAGGCATCAGGCATGTGTGTAGGTGCCCATTAAGTCAACTGACTTCTTCAGCTGCCAAATAGTAATGCCACAACTGCTGCATCATGGAGCAGAAGTCAAAGCAGGGTGTTCGTATTGGAAAATTAGTTTCCCCGCTTAAAAAATGCACCCCAATTTTAAAGAAAAGTTGCATATCATATGTGAGAAAATATGGTATATATTGAAGATTAAGTCCCTTGTTCTGCAAACTTTTATAAAGCTATGTACTCTTATGAACAGACTTATTAACTTCAATGAGACTTCATATATTTGTTTGCATAAGGGGCTACAATTTATTTTAAAGCTTTCTTAGTGACATATTCTTTGTTACTTGAAAGCAAATTTGATTCAGTGTTAACATTTAATAGGTTTTTTCAGATTTGCAATATATTAATGAAGCTACAAATCTTACCATACAGAGTAAGGCAACATTTTCTACCAGGCCCATATTTACATATCTAAGGATAAGCATTTCAAAAGTCCCCTTAATTTCAAAACCTCCGGTCAAAGCATTTCAATTTTTGACTTAGGGAAGTTCAAAAATATGGAAGGAGTTCATTACATAGGATAGCACAATAGCAATCTTTTTCTTTCAGTTTTGTTTAGCGTTCATACAATTTTGTTTAGAGTTCAGAGAGGGTACGGGACCTTAACCTATTCAGCCTTCGCAAGAGAAGGCCGAGGGGGGGACCTGTTGGCCATCTGTAAACTCACTAGGGGGGACCAGCAGGGTTTGGGAGAGACATTGTTCCCCTGAGCATCCCCCGGGGTAACAAGGAATAATGGCCACAAGTTGTTAGAGAGTAGGTTTAGGCTAGACATCTGAAGGCACTACTTCACAGTCAGGGTGGCTGGAAGGATCTGGAACCAACTTCCAAGGGAAGTGGTGATGGCTCCTACCCTGGGGGTCATTAGGAGGAGGCTTGACGTCTACCTGACTGGAGTCATTTGAGCCCGGTTTTCTCTCCTGCCCAGGGCAGGGGGTTGGACTAGAAGATCTACAGGTCCCTTCCGACCCTATTTCTATGAATCTATGAATTCACACAGTAAGGATGTTAATGAGACCCTGGACTTGTCTTTTTACAATACAGCTAACCAAATAATTCTAGAACTTCTTAGTTCAAAATCTGAAATTATACTGGAAATAAGGAGACTGATTAAAGATACACAGGGAGAATTTGCATTATAGGTTTCAGATTGTAAAATGCAAAGAAAAAGAAGTAGGAACATTTACATAGAAATCTATTTTAAATTCTAAACCTTGTTGCATTACTTTTTAAAAAAATGTGTTTTTATCCACCTTTCATTTGGATCCTGTCAGCTTCCAAGTAAGAGCAGAATTAGTTGACTGTTACTTTCTATCTCCCTCTCCCTCTCTCTCTCTCAAGATAAGGAATGTACTAATTCACCTAGCAACCAGGTATTTACTCAAAAGAACCAGTGCCTGAGTTGTTTTTATTTTTACCTCTTTTCCCGGTGTAAGACAGAGGATGAAAGAGTCATCATTCTATTCACTGTGTCTATCCATGTGGCAGCTCCCACAGGAATTTGTCAGACTACAAGTTACCCAGGAGGAGTTCCTCTGTATGAAAGCACTGTTACTTCTCAATACAAGTAAGTAGCAACTTAATTTTTATAACATTTTTGTTCTGCATCTCCAATCGCAAACAACAATGATAAGTTTCAGCATTTCACACAGTGTTACTTAGCATGAAAATTATGGGCTGTCTGACCCCAAAACTGAAAGCTCTCTTTCAGCAAAAATGTCTCAGCATTCCATTAAAATATTTTGGTTAAGTAACAACCAGAAATTCTTTGTTTGTTGCACAAAAACTTAGTGAGAGATGCTGAATAAATTTGACGAACTGTCACACTGAGTTGTGCATTTGAAAAATGCAGTTGTCCATCGTTTCATCCAACCAGCTTTTATGACTTTAATTTACATTCACAAATAAAACCCGATACAAAACTACAAAAATATAGTTAAATGATAACTATGACATTATTTTAATTAACTGTTATTCTTCCTGATGAAAGGGCCAAGAACTTATATCATAAGGTCAATGAATATTTTGCTCAGTAGGACAATGACATTAATATTAGTGGTTATTCAATGTATTCATGGAAAAAGAGGGTCCAAGTTAACCCAGGTTCATGTCCAGAACTGAATTTAGCCTACATTTCTAGTCTGGTTCTATCCACAGAGCATCCTTCCAATTATAACCTGCTGCTCAGTGGTCTTACACTTTTCAGATAAAGTAGAATTTTGTTCTCCAGAAGGTCAGTTAACTGGAGAGTCCCGTTAGCTTCCCCCTCACTGCTCATGCAGTGTGGCTAGCTCTCTGAGTTTGCCTAGTGGCAAACTTTCTGGTGCTGCTTAAACCATGTTAGATTCCCAGAAAAATTGATTTTTCCCAGAAAAACTGGAACGGTGGTGATTTTTCCAACCAATCAACATTCTACTGTATTTAGAACTTTGATCACCATTCTAGAAGAATTTCCTTTTTAAGCACCTGTTTAATGAGGCCCTTCAATAACTAATCAAACATTAAGCAGTAATTAGCCACACTTTGCAGTACTAAATTCCCTGGTTCAGACCTGGAAACAATTTAGCTGCTAATACTTCAGCTAATACTTAGCTGCTAAGGCTTTAGGAAAAATAAGAGAAATCAAAAACTATACTTTTTAAATAGCATTGGATTGATGTAGTTGTGATGATCCAGGAAAAATGTGAGGAGCAAGTATTTTTGTGGCTAGTATCTTGAACTAACCTTTCTCATACACTTTAAGTATCATTCATAAACCAGACAACATTCTCAGTTAGTGTTGCCAGAAATATTTATGTGCTTGAAAAGAAGGATAGCCTGTGTTTCTCCAATGGTATTTGCCTTATTTTCAAAGCTTATTTTTTTCTGTTGCAAAGAGAACACTTGATGCCATTCACAGTTAACACCATTAAGGTCAAAACATCAAAGATTATTATTTTGATTACCTATTTTTTGCTGTTTTCTTACATTTTTAAAAGACAATACTTTGATTTAGATCAATAATATTTCAGTAGGATACAGTATCAAAACATTGGAAAATTACAATTTAGACCCCTACCCTAAATTGAAATTATTCTCTTCAGATTTGCCATTCTTTTTTCACCATCCAAGGATCCTCCACAATATGTCATGGGGGCAACAGCATAGTACAGCAAGGACTGCCCATCACACAGTGCAGTGGTGGGGGGCCCATGTGGCATGATGTAGTGTGCAGTGTGTGGAGGTGTTGGCCCAGTGAGATGCCATAACAGCACAGTGCAGCGTGCAGTCTGCGTGCTGTGTGGCACTCATAAATTGGACATCCCTAGCTTAATAGTTCGAGGATCCACCTGATGTGGAGAGACTGAAATTCAAATAACTCTTCTAGCCTGCATCTTCCATTAGAGTGACCTAACAACTGGCCTGTCAGGTATTATCTTGTGGGTCTCTCACATACGTTGAAGCTATTACACTTTGCATAACGAATTAAATATTCATTAAAGCTGGGACTGGAAATGGTCCCACATCTCAGCACCAGGAAATAAATGGTACCAAGAATTTAAGCACCTGAAGTCATAAAGAGAAATTCAGATTAATTCTGTTCCAGTGACCACAGGATCCTTTAATATCTAAATGTTTGTATAAAAAGATCCTTAAACACCTAGACTTATGTTTCTGAACATGCTCACAAGCACCACAGTCGGATATGTTAGGCACTGTCATATGCTCCTTTATGATCTAGGTTAGGGCTGGGGAAGTCCTTATATTTCACATAAATCACCAAAGAGGTCTGATCCATTCTGCTCATGCACTTACATCAAATTCAGCATGAAGTTCAGACATCTTCACTCATTGATCATTAACTACCTTTTTTCGTAGTAGTCCTGAGGTTTCAACACTCACAGGGCACATCTACATGAGACGCTTTACTGCACAGCAGACTAATTCACTGTGCAGTAAAGTGTACCATCTATACATGCATGGCAATTAGGGCATAGTAGATTAATATACTACACTACTGGATAGTCCCATCAGATACAAGGAGTATCTTACAGTAAATTACTGTGCTTAAATGCACATGTAGAGAGTGGCTGCAGGATTAGTTTACTCCAGCTCAAATTGAGCTAGAGTATTTTCAGTCCTATTAATTCCACGTGTAGATGTGCCCACTCAGGAGAAGTAAAGGACCTAAGTTTTAGGTCCCTCCCTTAGTATGAGGGAATTTAAACTCAACATCTCTCATTTCCCAGAACAATTCTCTAAACACCAAGCTATGAGTTAGTCTGGATAGAGCCCTTTCACTTCTGCTGAAGCTTAGGCCTCTTGACTGCACAGTAGCTAAAGTCACAAAGCCAGAAGGAGAACACATGAGAGGCAACAAATTCTGTAGTTTTTTGATGGGGACAGTCCTATTGGAAAGGGAGTTGTGTATTTCAGTCCCTGCTCCCAGCACAATTTATGAATTTTACTTTAGACAGTCATTGGCTAAAAATGGGGGAAAAAATGTTATTCTATTGTTGTCTCCACAATAGAAAACAACATGCAACAGTTTTACTTTATTTTTAGTTCCTTTGGAAGGTCTAAGAAGTCAAAGCCAATTTGATGAGATGAGAGCAAGTTACATTAGAGAACTGGTCAAAGCAGTTGGATTGCGCCAGAAAGGAGTAGTGGCCAACTCGCAGCGTTTTTATCAGCTTACGAAACTCATGGACTCCATGCATGATGTAAGTTTGCTGGGGAGTGGGAATTATGCCAGGAACAAATAGCATTGCTTAAACTCAGTGTAAATAGTGTCGATAAGAATATTGAGGTATCCAGTTAAAGTTTATTTTTATTTATTCCTTATTTTAGGGCAAAACCATTTTTTCAATCAAATTAGGTGTTCATAACTTTATGTATAGGGGATTCAATGCAATGTGAAGAATACATTTTAAAATGTCACTTCGCTTTCAATATTTCTAGTAATATTAGGTCAGAGATCTTATGTATGTATGTGTTGGTACAACATTGAAAAAATAAAAATATTATTAAGGTTGCAAAGTCAAATATATGAAAATTATTAAATGCCAAATAAAAGTACAACCTTAATGTGGCCCATTTGCATGAATACATTATAGTCACATAATGTAGTGATGTACTCTTTTTTTTCCTGCAGGAGAACCATCTAACTTCTGGTAACTTTTGAGTGTTAAGCTTTGCAGCCATAATATTTTGAAGTAATTACATGTGTGGACTTTCCAAGTTTTTTAAATGGAAAACTGAAAAAAAAATTTAGAAATTCAATCATGTGGCATCATATTGTAATGGGTTGGGTTAAGCTGCATTAAAGCAAGCAGTCTTCTTGCACCCCAAACAAAGGTACATGCAAAGTACATGTGAGCAGGGAGGTTTAGCTGACTGTAGTTTTGTGTTGTTTTCTATAAGAGGCAAGAAAAGAAGAGATGCTAAGAAGCTAACAAAGAAGCATCTAATGCAGCCTGGACAAGGGATAGGAGCATTTCTCTGAGATAAAGCCTGAAGAGAGAAATTCAGAGCACAAACTCTTAGATTGAGTGTTGGGTGAAAGGAGTCTGGAGTTGTGAGAAAAGATGCGGTCTCTTTCTTGTTGATTCCTTCGGTGTTCACAAATGCGGCACTTTATGGACATTCTTTGTAAGTAAACAGGGTTTCATGTGAGGCCTGGACAAAAACATGTTTACATTCCCGTAGTGGGGTGTTATACTAGAATGAAAAAAGAGTAGACAGGCAACATTAATTTGCACACAGAAGTAACTTCACCCCATCTGGTACAAAATTATCCTTGAAAGAGTAAGAGATAAAACTCCTTTGAAGGAACCCACATCAGTATGGATGCTGTCTGTCAGCATCCATTCCAGTGTAGCTGTTTGCTTATGACAGTGGTTCTCAACTGGGGTCCCACGAAACCCCCCTGGGGGTGCTGTGACCCAAGTGCTATGGTGGTAGTGGCATCTAGGTAAAACTGACCTATGTGTACTTCTGCATTAGGGCTCTCTGATCAGCCTAAAGCAGGCAGGATTTGGCTGGGGCTTCCCAGTCTGGCCCCCACCACACTCCTTCCAAAAACAGGGGAACATGGGATCGTTCCACCTGCATGCCTCTGTGCCTAGGAGAACCTTGCCTGGGGAGGGGTTAGACCAGGAAATGTTGCAGCATGAGACAGTTCTCTTGCCTGCTTTAGGCTCATCAAAGAGCCCTAATGCAAGAGGATTGTATGCACATGCCACAGCCCTTTCTTGGCTGGCTGTGCAGCAGGCACAGGGCAGTTTTATCTGGAGGCACTGAGGTAAGTTGAGGCAGCACCAACAGTGGTTCTCAGCTACAGGTAATGCCACATTAAAAAAAAAGTGGTGGAGGAGTGCTGTTACACTGAAAAATTGAGAACCACTGGTTTAAGGCTGCCAGACTGTGGGGATTTTTGCCTTCCTCTGTAGTAGGCAGGTAGGTTGAGCTGTCTTCCTTGGAACTCTCAAGTATATATTAACAACCTTTACAACAAAGATGTTGCTCACGGCGGTCTCCCTACATTACCTGTGGTAGGTTAGGGTGTTATGTTCTGTGGTTTTATCAAGGTTGACTATAGTGTTGCTAATAAGTTAGAGAATAGATTTGTATAAGATGGTTTGAATAGGGACAATCCTGCCTCATGCTGAACTACATGAGCTCTGAGGTTGTTTCCTACCCTACATTTATATGATTTTGTGATTTTAGTCAATCCTGTCACAGTGGGGAGGTGTTGTAAGAGCAGCCTACTGTATTCAGCTACCTAAAAATAGCTGCTTATCTGTCTCCTGACCCTGATCCTGTGGTCTGTATATTAATGTAAGCTCTACCGGTGCAAATGGGCCATCTTTCTAGGCTCTAAGAAATGCCTGTTTTCCTTTACAATTTCTTCTCCTAAAAGGAACAAGATCCCAATTTTTGGCTAATCAGAAGGGTTAACAATTTTGATAGCAGCCTGATCCTCTGTTTCAGATCTTGCGTCTTGAGCTAAAGGCTTCCACGTAAAGCAGGACTTCAGCAATGTGGTACCTAATCTTTATGTACTATTCTGCCTAATGGAATTCATAGTCCTGGGTTAGACTCCAAAAGCCAGCATGCCCAAAGCCACCTCACTTGGAAATGCCAAGGAGAATGTAGTTAGATTCCTATCTTCCCTTAGGCCTCTCAGTGTTCGGTGTTTAAGCCAGATCAGCCTTTCCTCACACAAAGAGAAATTGGCCTACACCATTGTACCCAATAAGACAGCAGTTAGTAAACTTACTTGGGAAGTAGAAACTTTGTTTGCATGATTTGGAGCAAGGAGTTGCAAGCTGCTCATCCCAAAGTCCACATAAGTGCCTAGCTAGCTATAGAGTTAATCTCTTACTTCCAAATATTTAATTCTTCAATAATGTATTGATATAATTAGCATCAGCTAATTAAAATAATGCACTGATTCAATTTTAATTACTCATGCAAAATAGAATAGCCCTGACAGGAGAGACTGAAACAGTCACTCTAGAATAGCTAACAGATTCTGTTGACTAAGGCAGTCCCTTGGAATAGGGGAGACTGACATTCCTTCTCTAAAGTGTCCTTTACTGCCCCTGTTGGAGACAGGACACTGGGTCTGATGGACCACTGGTCTGACCCAGTATAATACTTCTTATATTCATATGGACAAGACTGGGATACACACAAATGGCAGTATTCAAACTCCCTTGGTCTCTAGGGCCATATATGGACTACAGGGCTCCTCATAGGACAAATCTGAATCTAACTCTGGCCGTGGGGCCAGCAGCAATGGTGTATTAACTGTTGTGGCCTGAGCCACAGGGATTAACACCCATCATTCACTCCTCTGACACCAACATGTGTCCCCAAAGGCCTCCATACATCTGGCAGCATGCCCTCCCCCAGGTTCCTGGCTCTTCCAGGAGCTCTGGGGGCCAGAGGATATGGTTGCATGAGCTGAATCTGCCCCATGGGCCATATCTTTTACAGTCTTGTTTAAAAGGGAGAGGATATGAACAGGGCAAGTCTAAACTGATCCAGTCCCTGTGTATCTTCCCTGCCATTTACTATTGTTAGTTTAGGGAAGTTAGAGGATAAAACCTTTACTGCTCTGTTTAATAGATATTAGTAAACATATCCTCTATGAATTTGTCTAATCTCTTTTTCAACCTGGCTGTACTCTCTATCTCTACAACCACCTGTGGCAACAAGTTTCACATGTTAACTGTGTGTTGTATGACAATAGTTTCTTGCTTGTGCTTTAATTTTAGTGGGTGCCCCATAGTTCTTCTATGCTGGGACTTGGTGAATAACAGTTCCTTACTCACTTTGCCCACACTTCATGATTTTTATAGACCTCCTATTTTGTTTTAAATTCCATTCTTAATGATGCTTATCATTTTATTGGCTTTTCTGGTCATTGCTGTGCATTAAGCCCAAGTTTTTAGAGAAGTATCTAAGAGAAACTAAGTTTCTTTCCTGAGTCATAGGGTGTGTCCAGCTGAGAGTGCACATGCCTCTTGCCCCATCTCAAACCCCTTTGAGATGGGGCAAGAGACACATGTAGGAATGAAAAAATGTTCCCTGCACTGCAGACTTGCAGTGTGGGGAGAAAATTAGACCCCTTGATATCCAGGGGTGAGAAAAAAAAACACTCCACAGAAGAGTGGAGCAAGGCACGGTCCTAGACCATGCCCAGAGTCAGCAGGGAGTCAGTGCTCCAGAAGAGATGCTCTGGTTTTGGCCAGAGCGTCTCTTTGGTGCTCCTGCTGCCCCCGGCACTGTCCAAGGTAAGTGGGGGAATGGGGCTGGGAGGTGTTCATGGGTGTGGGTTGGTGTGAGTGGTGGCAGGGGAATGTGGTGGGGTTTGGGGAGTGGCAGGGGTGATGACCCCGGGGCTGTGGGGGGTGAGGACCTGGCTCAGACCAGTGCAGCTCGCTAGTCCGGCTTTGCACCAGAGTGAGTTACATGGCTCCGGGAGCCTCCCAGAGCTGTGAGACCCGCTCCAGTGCAAAGCCAGACTAGCAAGCCACACAGGGCTGGGCCAGATCCCACCACATGCCACCTCCCTGCAGGCACAGTGGGGCAGAGGCAGTACCTGGCGTGGCACCGAGGCAGATGGTGTGCCAGGTCCAGCCAGGTCCTGCCAGCCCTAGGGACCCTCTGCTGCCTGGCCAAGCCAGTCCCGTGGCAGCAGACCCAGCGTGTTGCACGGGGATTGTGTGCCAGGTCCTGCCAGCTCTGGGGCCCCTCTGCCACCCAACCGGGCCAGTCCCATGGCAGGAAGACCTGGCAAGGCACACAAGGACTACGTGTTGGGCCCAGCCAGGTCCTGCCAGCCCTGGGACTGCTCATGTTGCATCAGGTGGGCCACACAAGCAGCCCCAGTGCCAGCAGGACCCGCTGGGCCCAGCACATGGTCCCCAAGTGCTGATAGCTGGCAGCAGCAGGCTCAGAGCGCCCCACTCCCTCTGCTGGTGCAAAAGGTAAGTTATGGGCCCTGGGCAGGGAGGCTGTGACCCTCCAGGGTGCCTGGGACCCTGGGCGGGGGGTCTGGGGCCCTCCAGGGTGCCTGGGACCCTGGGCAGGGGAGCTAGGGCCCTGTGGGGGATAGGGACTGTGGCCCTCCAGGGGGGACCTGGAGTCCTGTGAGGGGGGACAACATTCCATGTGCTGTGAGGGGGGACTGCACCCTGTGGGGGCCAGAGGACCCACTCCTGAGCATCCCCCCACAAGGTCCCCCACACCCACAGTCCCCCCAGCAATTGCCCCAAATCCACCCACACACCAACCCACATCCCTCCACACATACCCACACCTCTTCCCACCCCCTTCCTGAAAACACCACATCCCCCCATCACACACCCATCATATGCAAAAAAAACCAAAATCACACATCAACACATATAAGTATTTAGAATTTATTTTATTGTGCTGACAGAGACACTGGTAGGCTTCCAAATTGCTTTAACATTGTAAATATACCAATAAAGCATTGCCCAACTGATCAGTCTCTCTTTGTCTCTCTCTCTCTCTCTAAATATATGTGTGTGTGTGTGTAAAATAATCTGTTGTTTTAATTGTGGAAGAATGTGAATTTTGGGGTATTTTTAAAAATGGATTTGGTCTGCTGCTTCAACAGTCCAGCTGACACAAGGGATAGTGTCCCCAGGTACCAATTGGCTGGGCCCCAGAAGCTCCTGAGAGCAAGTAGCCCTGAACTGCTTGCCAGGGCAGTTTTTTGTATGGATGGGGCCAGAACAGGGCAGCTTTTTATACTGCGGGGGACAGCACAGGTGCTGGCCCTGGGCTCTAGCTCCACCTTGCTGCAGGTCCGTGAGGAGCTGAGCAGGGTTATTTTGCCCCAAGTGGCACAATAACCACTTTGTTGCTGCACAACAAAGTGCATGTCCAAGCACGTGCACTGAAGCAAAAAGCCCCGGCTCAAATTTGCACCACTTCTATTGGAACTGCTACAAGCGCACATGCTTGCATGTGTGGATGTGTCTATAATGGGTAATCCAGAACCCAGTTGAGGTTATTCTTCCCATATGTTTTTGTTGACTTTTTGGCCCATTCACTCAACTTCCCAAGATCTTTCTGCAGATCCTTTCCATTAGCTTGGGATATGACTACCTGGAATATGACTACTTGGACTAATTTACTGTTGTCTATAGACTGAGATTTCCCCATTTTCCAGGTCATTGATGAAACAATTGAACAAACCCAGATTCCTAGAAGATTCTGATATTAAATATTCTCTATCCTAAAAAGTGGCCCTTTTAGATCTGTTCATTACTTCCTATCATTTAACAAGGTTTCAGTCCATGAAGAACCTTCCCTCCAATCCAGTGGCAATTCAGTATAAGAGCATTTTGTGAGGGAACGAGGCAACAGCTTTTTGAAAATATATCAGTTGGATCCCCCTTGTTCACATGTTTGGAACACCCTCAAAGAACTCCAGGAGATTGAGGAAATTCTACCTCACTTGCTGACTCTTCTCCAGCATTTAAAGTTTATCCAAGTAACTGCTGGTTTTATTCTTTGTTGTAGGCTCTACCAGCTTGTCAGCTAAGCCTCTAATATACTGTTTTTAAACACCTTCTAGGCTTCATGCAGGCATATTAGATTTTGGACTGTTCCTTTGAACTTCTTTCTAACTAACTTCCTCATTAAGGTGTAATTTCCCTTCCTCAAGTTGTAAGGTGAATTTGTTTGTTTACTCTCTCTCATTAGGATGTTGAATGTAACTATGTTATGTTTGCTATTATGGACTGGT